TAGTCATACACAATATTCATCTTCTCTCGCAGCATCTTGGGCACAGTGGTACTGGTGAAATCACAAAGTCAAAGTTGCTTAATGAAAGTACTTCGTTTTCAATAAACAACTGATTTGTAGAAAAAGATGCTGACGTTCAAATGACTTATCCTCTTGGTTCCTTAAATTCACCGTCCACCCAAAATGGAGTTGGCGAGATTATGATGGCATACTAGTGTGGGCCTTCATACTAGATAAACCTCCAAGCTTCGCCGCAAAAGACTGCTTCTGCTCAGACACTCGCTGTTGACTCGCGCCGGAGATCCGCTCCTTTTGAGGGATTCGCGGGAAAGGGCGTAGACATGCGCGAGACAATATTTTGACAGTTTTTGCGGATGGTCGCGAAAGGAAATCGGGAGATGAGTGACTCAGCGAGCAGTTTTGCAATATCGACGCGCATTTCAAATCTCAGCTCATATTGCATCATTCCAGGTTTTTTTGCTACCTATTTCCAAAATTCGTGCATTCCATCCATCCCAATTAAGCCCTCTTCTTTCCATTATTTCATTCCAATCCAAAATTAACTTTATTTAAAATCCAATTTTGAAACTCCTTCTCTTGAAATCGAAGCTCGACTATCTCCGTGATTGTGGGATTGTGGATTTTGAGTACTGAATCCGGTAAGAGCTAAACTCCTTCCTCTAAAGGTAAGATGCCAGTGCACTTATTCCAGTCTTAGTCGACATGGTTTTTTCTTTTCAGAAGAAGCGTGTGATCGAGACTACGGCAAGCAGCTCTTCTGCTGCCAAGGAAATAAAAAAGACCAGCCCCGACGAGTTTTAGCCCATTTGCTATTACTTTTTTCTAATTTGCTGTACTTATCTACGTATCACTATCATATCATTTGCCTTTACTCTACTCCCGCTTTTGCGTATCACTTATTTGCATTCCGAGATTCTCATTGTTTGACGGTTACCAAGTACACTTCTATCTCATCATGTATCTCCATATCGTGAAGCTTTTAAAAATAGTAGTTTGACTCCCCCGAAGTTCTTATTTGATTTTCTTGCGTGGCTACATTGAACATAACTCTATTGAAATGTTCTTAAGGTTGAAGTAAATTCACTATGCTAATGAAGTTTTCAATCAAACCTCATGTCATTTTAGAAGTAATAAATGGTTGGTGGACTTTGTAGAATTCATGTATGTATATACGTGTATATATATACATACATATATGTATACATATATACATTTATATATATTAGGTTGTCCCGAAAGTTCGTTCGCACCATCTTCAAAAAATCACAACATCTTTGAATCATAACCTTTTTGCGCAATTCAAATTTCATTAGAAAGCGTAAAGCATGTAGTTTCCAAAGGTCCCCTGGGGACTTTCCAGCCTGGTCAGGGTGCAGAGATAAAAATGAAAGAACCTAAACATCCGAAATTCGGAATTTTTGAGCAAAAATTCTGAAAATCTAGAAACTGCGCGATAAAATACAGAAAAGCCATTATCATAATTTTTCTTATATTTGATTACTAAGTGAGTTAAGTTTGGGCTGATCGAGCTCTTCTTTCAAAAGTTATGATTTTTTGAAATAGAATGCCGAAAAATCAATTTCGAAGGAATTCTTAGGAAATTGATTTTCCGGCATTTTTTTCAAAAAATCATAACTTTTGAAAGAAGAGCTCGATCAGCCCAAACTTAACTCACTTAGTAATCAAATATAAGAAAAATTATGATAATGGCTTTTCTGTATTTTATCGCGCAGTTTCTAGATTTTCAGAATTTTTGCTCAAAAATTCCGAATTTCGGATGTTCTCGTTCTTTCATTTTTATCTCTGCAATCTGAACATGCTGGAAAGTAACCAGGGTAATATTGGAAACTACAAGCTTTGCGCTTTCTAAGTAAATTTGGACTGCGCAAAAAGGTTATGATTCAAAGAAGTTATGATTTTTTGAAGATGGTGCGAACGAACTTTCGGGACAACCTAATATATATATATATATATATATATATATGTATCAGTGGCGTACCCAGGATTTCGGCTCGGGGGGGGGGCGCGACAAAAATTTTTTTCTAAAGAAGATGCGTGGCGTTAGCCACGCACTTCGGAAAAATTTTTGGGGTGCTTCTCAAAATTCTTCCGGGTCCCCGACCCCTAAAATCTGGAAAAAGGGGGCGTGGCGTCAGCCACGCCCCCGAAAAAAAATTTTTTATAAGGCTAAAATGAATTTTTAAAAAATTTCAAAAATTATTTTAATTATTTACAAGTAAAAACAAGTCACTTGCACATTTTTATAACCCATGTAAGTAACTTTCAAAAATTTCGCGACCCGTTCTCGGGGGGGGGGCGCGCCCCCCCCCGCCCCCCCCCTCGGCCACTGATATGTATATATATATAGATATATATCAGTGGCGTACCCAGGATTTCGGCTCGGGGGGGGGGGCGCGACAAAAATTTTTTTTAAAGAAGGTGCGTGGCGTTAGCCACGCACTCCGAAAAATTTTTTGGGGTGCTTCTCAAAATTTTTCCGGGTCCCAGACCCCTAAAATCTTGAAAAAGGGGCGTGGCGTCAGCCACGCCTCCGAAAAATTTTTTTTTATAAGGCTAAAATGAATTTTTAAAAAATTTTAAAAATTATTTTAATTATTTACAAGTAAAAACAAGTCACTTGCACATTTTTATAACCCATGTAAGTAACTTTCAAAAATTTCGCGACCCATTCTCGGGGGGGGGGGGCGCGCCCCCCTCGCCCCCCCCCCCTCGGTACGCCACTGATATATATATATATAGTGTATGTTTGTACATACACATATAAGTATATACATATATGTAATGTACAGCAAGTAGGGATATAGCGAAATTACTACTGCGAGATAACGCGCTCCAGTTGCGTCCGGACATCAGGATGTGTCGCTCTCGAGCTGCCGCGTATTTCCTGCAAGATGCGGGTCGCGTCAAAGCGTTGTCTCGGGCAGCATTGTTCCGACACATAATGTTGTCTCGGGATTTCGTCGCGAGGCCGATTACTTGTGTCGCGCCTTCATTCAGCGCTTACACAAAACTTTGGGCTGCGCGAGTCAACAGCGAGTGTCTGAGTGAAGCGAGAAATCCGCTCCGGAAGTAACATAGTGGGCGGGGCGGCGCCCCCGGCGGTCCACCAAACTCGAATTCAATGTTTTTGTCGCCTTCAGGCCTTCTGAAAGCCCTGATTCCGAATATGGAGTCGAAAATTCGCGAAACCCCCAAAAATCCCTGTTTCGAGAACCCTCTGCAACAAGTGCAGGCGAGATAAAGCATGCAAGTGGGCGGGGCGACCGGGGGCGCCCCGCCCACTTTTGTTACTTCCGCAGCGGATTTCTCGCTTCAGAAGCATCTTTTGCGGCGAAACTTGGGGGTTTGCCTAGTATGGGGGCCCACACTAGTATGCCACCATAATCTCGCCAACCTCCATTTTGGGTGGACGGTGCCTTTAACTGCCCATTTCGAGTCCCATCAAATAATAAATCTTTGCATGTCTTAAGTGGATTTGGGGGACTCGGGCTTCGTCTTTATCGGGGAGAAAGAGTTGACCTTGAATGCAAAAAATAGATGGAAAATGTAGCTTGCTCATCAAAAAGTTTTCCTACCTTGGCTGAGAAATCAAAATAATACTTTAGTAGTTTAAACACATTTGTCACAATATTCCTCGATGACTGAACAAGAAAAGTTATCTTAGGGCAGGCAGGTGCGATGAAACGCGTGGTAGCTCCTAAACAACTATAGCGACTCCGCAAAACGAAACTCAGAGTTAACTCTGAGTTAAGCGCAGCTTCAAACTCGAAGTTTCGACCAATTACTACCGGCCCAGCTTTTGAAGGCGCGTTTGCTGATATACATCTCATCTTCAATCGCCAACTAACGTTGGTATCCTTTCCTTATTAAAAGTGTTCCCAAAACTCCAACCACCGTCTTTTTTACATTGAGTGCTTTCACTTCATGGACTACAAAAGCTCATACGCCTGATGTGTATTCTAAGGATTCTATGCTAAGGAAGGACATATAACTGGAGCTTGAATGCTTCCTTGCGGTAATGTTAATGGGATCAGGCACCTCTCAAAAGGTCAGGCCGCCTGAAACTTTGCAGCCTTGTGCCTAACCCTTTTATTTTTAGAGTCAGTAATTTGCTCCATTTTTGATATGAGGTTGTCCAAATTAATGTCGTATTGTGTTTTATCAGGCAATATACGCACGAGAGTAAGTAAGTGGATATCAACTGATAGGTCAGAGCAAGCTCTACAAAATGAAGCTCAAACCCTTGCGCCAAGTTTCATTTGCGTGAGGTTTGCAGCCAAATTTCATAAGGCGCTAAAGATCTAAAAGAACAAAAAAATCGTATCTCCGTTCAGAAAAGTCCTGGGAGCTCCTAACTTGCTCACGCATGGACTCACTATACGAGACACTCGTACGCACATTTTCGCGGTTTTTGGCTGAAAATTGAGAAAACGAAATTCGGCGAATTTTTGCCAAAGCAATCCTGAGCTTCTCTCGCTTGGGTGATTCTGTAGTATGAACCTTAAGAAGTATAACCATGCATTCTCAGCATTAGACTCCTGAAACCTATTCGTGTCACATTAGTAATGGGTGTCATGCCCTCCTTTCCTGAGAAAGTTATTGCTTTTGATTAAACTCATGCCCAATGCGAAATAAACCGAATAATGCTGTTTTCATCACTCCTCAGGCAGTCTAAGGGATACCTCCGGCGGGCAAATGGCGCGGGTCTGCCACTTGGCGCTCTGAAGCGTTTCGGAGGCCTCCCATTTCACTCATTTTAGTGGCCCGGGGCTCTCCCAAATCTGGTGCACCTCCGGAGCAGAGATTTGCGCGTCCCGGAAGGGGGTCCCATTCGTTCACCGTGATGTCACCGTGACGTCAAGGTGATGTCACAAGCAGGCAATGGCACAACCCGTGGGTCCTGCAACGATTTGACGTCTTCAGCCGTGCTCCGCTCGTCCAATTCCAGGATTGTATTAATGGGAGGGATTGGAAAAGCTCTTTTACCCAATTTCAAGCTCTCTGTGAAGTGGAATATCGGTATCAGCGCATTGGATAACCCCAGGTACGCAAGAATTTGACTAGTTAAGATTTGCCGAGCAACTGCCTTCAAAGTTAGCTAAGATTCCGCTGTTCGAACTGACAATGAGATATTCATTACGTCTTCTCATTTTCACTTGGGAACAAACAACACGTTTATTTTGCGTCTCAGTGAAAATTTTCCTGAAAATCAATTCTTCTCTGATCTTACAGCTTAGATTTTCGAATGATGAAATACATGTCTATTAATATTCAGAGACACATGGTCTAAAAATAGGAAATGCATTGCAGAAGTAACCTTCATCGCAAACCTCACCGTTGATAAATCAACTTCTTTCTCATCAGGAACCTCCTGCATAATGCAGGAGATTCCTGGTGAGAATTGCAGTATCAGCATAGCCCATTTAGTCGCTTTGCTTTAGCATAGCCCACTTAGTCACTTTACTTTGCGCTAATGGACAAAGGATACATTGTCATTGGAGAGATTGCATTCTGAAAACATAGAGTTCAGCCTTGAAGCAAAGCTTTCACTAAATGGCAAAATGCATTTTGATGCTCTCAAGTGTAAGAGTGGAAAGACGTAATGATTATCTCAATTCGAAATTCAGTGCATTACTGCAAGATCACAACAGCTTGTGAGAGATTTTTATCATTATCGACTAAAATGGTTTGCGTATATAACTGTGTCACAGCTCAGCAAGCTGCACTTTCCTTCTTTGTCTTTTCTGATTCTATGCAATTCTGATTATTTGATTTCAGACAACCAACTGCTTTGAGAGACAATGCTTGCCTGGAAATTCCTTGTTGTGGTAAATTATAATACCTTCTGTCATGCAACTATGGAGTAATACGCCACACTTTCAGGCTGTATTAATTGCCGTAAGCAATGCTATCCGGTATCCATCCCCACCACATTATCCTCCACATCTAAAAATTCCGCCAAACTTCCCCATCCCCTTGTAACAATCCCGTTACCAGTCAAACGCTTCAATGAGCTCGATCATTGATAATAAACGCGTCAATGCTGCTGTTTCCTAATATCGAGAGTAAGATTACGGTACAAATACGCAGAACATTGTCTTTAGCAGGCCGGTTTCTCAACTGGTAAAACAACTGTTTCCATACTGAGGCAAAACTAAGCAGTCAAACATGAAATTGAGCAGATTGTATGAGTAGCCTTGGCTATGCTGTTTAAAACTTGAAAACACAAACCTCACTCCCAAGTATCTTCGTCATCAAGTCGGATTGGAATGAGAATGTTCAAATCGTTGCAATCAGCTTTGGTAGTACTGCCGCCACCGAGATACCTTAGATTAAGCAAAGCACGCATGCCAATGGTAAAAAAAGTGGTCCATGATTTTGTTAGTCGGCAATCAACAGTTACCCAGAGCTTTGATTGTAAGTATATTTCGCATGCGAAATCGAATACATAATTTGAGTTGCATGAAATGGTTCAAAGCGATCATTCATTGAATCACTTAGAGTTCGCTCACGCCATGTTCTACATATTTTGGCATGAGAGTGGATGAGAGCCTTCTAGTATCTAGTACAAATTACATTCATTTTGTCTAGTGCAGTCAGATTACCAGTAATTTCAGAACAAGATTGCCCATAAAAATTCAGGAAAATTCACGGAGCGTTTTGTACCGCATTTTTCTTACCTTCATCCATATTGCCTTTCTATAATCCTCACTACCAAGAATTATAAAATGAAGAAGTGAAAGAAATGGCCCAAATTTTTATGTTGTTTTCCTGTGCATATCTTTTCAAATGTATTCTTAAGCTCAGCTGCCAAACTTCGATTTGTCGAAATTTGAAACTCGGAATTTTCCATTTATGAATGATCAAAAAACGGGTTTCGAAGAATGTTACTCGAATGTTTCAAATGATTCCGTGTTCGAATGCAATGTTTTTAGAATTATTATGTAGATTTTACAGTGTGATCTGTGTCGCTGAGCAAGAAAGGTCTGCACACTATGCAGTGGTAGGTGGCAAGCCTCCATAACGCCTGCCCACCAGTTCTATCGATTGTGTTGGCGCAAGGGTGGACCCCATCTTACATTCTATGGGTATTATATCAACACCCATGAGTGTCCATCGCATAACAGTTTATGAAAATTCGGAGTCGGACTTAGACGCCTCCGGTTCGTAAGACATGTCTGACACCTACACCGGAGGCGATCGCGCGCCGCGCGTTGGCCGTTTTAGACTTCTGCGTGGAATCCAAAACTGATTGAGAAGGAAGAGGGCATTAATGTAGTCACCGAATCCTCACCTTCTCCAGCATTATGTGGTTATATTAGGCTGGAAACTAAGTTTTGCAACTCGTCTCATAACTCCACTCTCTTTGGATATGACGCACTTAAACTTTGGCATTATGTAGAAGGCAATGTGAGCTATAAGTAAGCACAAGTTGTCTAGATTTTGACACGAAATAGAAAAGTTTCAGGCGTTTTTCGAAAACTAGTGAAATTTGAGAATTTTTGGGGTTTAAAGCTAAAATGAAGCCTTTGGCAGCCTAGACCATGCACAGAAATCCGGATTCGTCTATAAATTATTGCTGGAGGTTGACTCCTTTGGCGTATTAAGAAAGAAACAAAATTTAATGACATGTCGAGATTTGGCGTCCTCATAAAGTCGAATGAGTCGATGTACGCAAAAGCTGCTGGGGACGACCGTCAATGACTAAAGAGTCCGAAGCTCAAATTCCGCCGAGACTTTGCATAGTAAGGTTATTTGACCTGCCAAACGCGAATATTACATTCATTTGTTGAATCAACGCCATTTTCCCTGTTTAGGGTGAGACCTCATATCGTACACCTACAGTGATCCTACAAAAAAGCCCTCTTATCACACAATTTCACTATCATTTTCGTGATCAGCATGTAGGATAACACCCCTGTGCCAAGTTTCAGCCAAGTCCGTCAAACTTTGAGTTTTTCCCCTTCATACCATGCACCTACCGTAACCCTCACTGCGACGTCAGAATTTGGTAGGACAGCAGGTGCGCTTGTAGCTTACGTAATAACCAACGCAGTGGAAAAATTTGAGTGCGCCATGTTGAGTGAGAGGGAAGTTATGAGACCAGTTGCAAAACTTAGTTTTCCACCTAATAATAATAAAGTAAACAACAAAGAGCAACAGCTTGCCATAATTGGCGGCGTAACTTTGGGCGGTTACATCGCTCGACTTCGATGCAGTAAGGTGAGCACTGCTTTCGCATTTGTTTGTCTTTCACACCAGGGTAGCACCACTCTAGTATAAAGACACTTGCGAATAGAACTTATACGAACTTTTGAATTTAAGCTCCGAAGAGAACGTTAACGTCGACAGCCAAGTAAATCATAATACAAATTTTTGCACTGCTCAGAAAAAAACTTTGCAGTTATTAAAACGTGCGAGGTTCAATAAAGGTCGAACAGATATTTATGAAGTTGCTCAAGAACCTTTACATCTACTTTGCCCTAAAGATGAGGCTTTGTTCAGTAAATTTTGAATCGTGATTGAGTAAATTACCGATTTTCGTGATATCAGGTAAGGTCTCAAATTTTCAAAATGTCACAGAAAGCTGATTTTTTTGTGTGCGTATAGACTGAACACGATTTATTGCTTCACTATATCTGTAAAATCATCATCTCCACTATATCTTTACTTCACTATCATTATTATACTTATAATAACGGGCTAAGGATGTTTACGTGACTTTGTTTGTGTATGTGTGTGTCTGTAAGTGTGTCTGTTACGAAATTTGTAGAGCGTGTTCCAGCCAACCTCCTGGGCTCAAATTTTGCACAGCGAACGCTACCCGCATGAAAGTCCAACATGCAAAAGCACGAGCAGATTTGTTGAGTGGATGCCTCAGAAACTGCGCGTCAAACGGATCCACTTTGCGTTTGGGCGGCAATTTGCGTCCAAAATTGCACTTTTTACAGAGTCGCAGATGTCTGTGCCAAGTAAATGTGCGAGTCATGAACATAGACCCAAAGAAGTGATCAAATGTCCATTACTTTACAAAAACGGCGCTAAAAAGTATTGGTTGCGTAAATGCTCAATTTGCCAGGGTTGTACCAGAGCATTTGACGAGATTTTTGCACAGTGATGTAGCTCATGGTAACTGCTCTTCTTATTGCAACTGTCAAGACCATGGGAAAATCAAAAACCTATAAAAATTTGCGTTTATTTTCGTGCAAAAAGTCTCATCCACGCGAACTCACCGATTTCACATAAAAAAGCTTTTGGGAGTAGTTGTTTACATTTTGTTCGTGATAGCCGGCATTGCTCGGTGAATTCCAATGCCATCATTATGCGAGAATGAGTAGGGCAGATAGTAGTGCCAATGCGAGCCTCTGCGAAGCAGAGGTGACGCACTGGTATCTATATATCATCTTTACAAGTGCGTCACCTCTGCTTCGCAGAGGCTCGCACTGGCTTTACTATTTAGGCCCTACTCATTCTCGCATAATGATGGCATTGGAATTCACCGAGCAATGCCGACTACCACGAACAAAATGTAAACAACTACTCATTCCGAAAGCTTTGTCATGTGAAATCGGTGAGTTCGCGTGGATGAGACTTTTTGCACGAAAACAAACGCAAATTTTTGTAGGTTTTTGATTTCTTCTGGTCTTGACAGTTGCAATAAGAACAGCAGTCACCGTGAGTTATATCTTTGTGCAAAAATCTCGTCAAATGCTCTGGTAAAACCTTGGCAAATTGACCATTTGCGCAACCAATACTTTTTAGCGCCGTTTTTGTAAAGTAATGGACATTTGATCACTTCTTTGGGTCTATGTTCATGACTTGCACATTTACTTGGCACAGACATCTGCGACTCTGTAAAAAGTGCAATTTTGGACGCAAATTGCCGCCCAAACGCAAAGTGGATCCGTTTGACGCGCAGTTTCTGAGGGATCCACTCAACGAATGTGCTCGTGCTTTTGCATGTTGGACTTTCATGCGGATAGCATGCGCTTTGCAAAATTTGAGCCCAGGAGGTTGGCTGGAACTCGCACTATGAATTTCGTGACACACACACACACACACACACACACACACACACACACACACACACACACACACACACACACACACACACACACACACACACACACACACACACACACACACACACACACACACACACACACACACACACACACACACACACACACACACACACACACACACACACACACACACACACACACACACACACACACACACACACACACACACACACACACACACACACACACACACACACACACACACACACACACACACACACACACACACACACACACACACACACACACACACACACACACACACACACACACACACACACACACACACACACACACACACACACACACACACACACACACACACACACACGTAAACAACCCTTAGCCCGTTATTATAAGTTATGATATCACTATATCTTTACATCAAAAAGTTCGAAATCATGACAGTGAAACAGTTCCATGTTAAAAATGTCTGTCTCATTTTGTGAAGTATAGCAAAGCATAAGTGTTTAACTCTGCGTGTTTGTAAAGCTTAGTGCGTTACCCACTTATCCTTTACCACTTGAAAGCCACCAGCGATAAAGCTTTACCTTATAGTCACATGTCAGTGAGATTTACCCAACTACAGGTTTCCAAGCATGTATGTCTTCAGGCACTTGGTTGTCTAAGATCAGTTTCTCGACTGCATAAAAACAGCAGAAAAAGACCAAAAAAGGAAACTGGCAGCGAGTATTGAGTTGTAACAACGGCTCTATAAGCGAGACACCATAAAAATGCTGAATACCTCGAAGTTTGCTAAGACTGCGCTGTTTGAATTGAGATAATCCATTACGTTTTCTCATTTCCACTGGGAGCAAGAAGAACGTTTATTTTGTCATCTCAGTGAAAATTTTCCTGAAAATCACCTTTTCTGGGATCTTAAAAATTAGATTTACAAATGATGAGATAGATGTCTATTGTCTATGTCTTCAGAATTTTAATTTACATGTGAACACTTTCACTATTAATCAC